GGAAAAATGCTTACAGACCCAAACTTAGGAGTAAACAGTAGCTGAAGCTGTAGGAAGGGATATAGAGGCCTGAAGGTCTCTTATGTGCAACTGGTTTTATATAGTATTTTATTTAACCATTGTGATCTTCTGTTACAATCTGTGTTCTGCATATGAGAATATTGAAATTCAGAGTTTAACTTCCCCAAAGTCACTCGACTGGAAAGTGGCAGAGCCGAAAAGAAACCTTGTTATTCTTGAGATTTTTTTCATTTTCCAACTCTTGAGTTTCATTTGGATTTATTTCAACACAGATTTACTGAATATCTACTATGAATCAGTCACAATGCTTAACCTCAGGATATTTAGAGTAGTTTTTATTAAAAGAGGTAGGTTTTATCATCCAATGCTTAATTTACTGTATATTTATTTAAGGCTAGTATTAACTTCATATTAAACTTCATTCAAGTTTTGATTTGGAAGACAGTGGTCCATCGGTGAAATACCTTATTTATTTGTTGTTCAAGTTTTAAGTTTCTTTTATCTTTATCTTTATAAACTCTTTATCTTTCCTTCATATTCTTCATCTTAACACATGGCTCCATTTTACACCCTGTTACTCAGGACACCACACTAGGCCTTCATACCTAGGTCCTTCTTTTCCCTCCTTCCCCAAAGACGATGCATCACCAAGTCTTGGCTGTACCGAAAGTGCCCTTCCTCTTCTCATCACCTCTCCACCTCTGCTTTCTGACCTTCTTCTGCAGAACTCTTGTCATCCTAGGCTCCAGGGCAACATTCTTCCCGCTTCCAATCCATCTTCCATATAGAAGCTATGGCAGTCTTTTTCAAACATCAGGTTTTCCCTGTTTTGAACTCTCCCAAGGTTTTTTTCCTTTATTTTTTCTTTTAGAGCCCTCTCTAAACTCTCTGCCATGGGCACAGAGTTCTGAGGAGTCTGGTCCTTTCTGGTCTACACTGGCAGCCCACATCCCTTGCTCCCTGCCCATAAGGCTCTACCTGCCGTGTGTGTGAGTGTGTGTGTGAGTGTGTGTGTGAGTGTGTGTGAGTGTGTGTGTGTGTGTGTGTGTGTGTGTGTGTGTGTGGTAGTCGCTCAGTCGTGTCTGACTCTTCGTGACCCCATGGACTGTAGTCCTCCTGGCTTCTCTGTCTGTGGGATTCTCCAAGCAAGAATACTAGAGTGGGTTGCCATTCCCTTCTCCAGGTTCTGTGACTATGCCAGAGCCTTTTTCACATGTGGGTTTTTACACCTGATGTTTCCTTTGCTGGGAATGCCCATGCCTCCCCAGTTTTGCTGAAAGTCTGCTCCATCTTAATCTTCAGGTCTTCGCTCAAATGCTACCTTCTCAAGAAGACCCAAATTTCCTGTTTATTGTTCCACCTATTACTCTGTGTCTCAACTTGTCTTCATAGCATTAATGATAATCTGTATTTAACTTGATCACTTGATTATCCCTGAAAGGCCTGTCTACTATTTTTCTGTTATAGTCCTGGCATGGAGAACAGTGTCTGGTACCAAGGGTTACAGAATAAATATCTATTAAGTAGATACATGAGCCTGGGTAGGTTGCTTTAAACATCTCAAGAGAAGAGAATCACGAAAACATGAGCTATCTCGGAACCTGACCCTATTCTTTCCATGGACACTTTTTTTATTTGACTTGCGGGCTTTGGACCTGCAGAGGTTGAGATTGGTTCCTGCTCAAAAAAACAAAACGAAACAATCTGTCGAGTGGTGCCTGTCTCAGCCCCTGATGCTGACTCCTGCTTCTGCCATCACACAGCTTTCACACCGCAGATGTGCGCGTGATGCCTGTTTTGCATCAGGAATAGGAAATGGACAGGGACACAAACACTAAGATCTGTCTGCCTTCAGGGTAGTGAACCAGGTAAGGTGATGAACACAGAGACCAGACTGCCTGGGAGAAAAAGAATAGTACTTACCTCATAGGGTTGTTTGGAAGATTTAATGAGCTTATATTTGTAACTTCTTGTTGCCTGGTATAAAGCAACTGATATATAAAAGCCAAAATAAAAAATCAAGTATCCCCTTCCTTCCAGAAGCTGACAGGTTTTCGGTCACTTATCCCTGCTCGGTTTCAAACTTCACTGAACATTTTTGCTCATTCATCTCACTTTTCTTGCTTAGTTCCTGGAGTATCTGTGGCCCCTGGGTTTCACTGGCTTAATTTATGGTCTGTTGATGGTCTTATCTATTTTTCCTCCTGTTTTCTCATTTTTTCTAACTTGTTAATGCACCTAATAAACTGTACATCTGTTCAGAGCAGAGACTGAATGTATTTGTCTCTGTTTCTCCAACACAAAGCACAGTGCCTCGGTCATGACATGTATGATGAACAAATGAAGGAGTGAATAAAATGAATCTTGAATCATTATAAGCTCAGTCTTACATCTGGACTCTGAGCCTGCCCTCTGTCCAGGCCTTACTTCCAGTCCAATCCTTTAAATCTTTCCTCTGTGCTCTGATCTGGACTTTTTGCTCTGATACTTTTTTGCTTTAACTGTACACAGCTTTTGGGGGCTTTTTTTTTTTTTTTTTCTAACAGCATCACCCTCCTTCCTTATAACTTAATTAGCTAAACATTTATTTGAATTGATTTTCTCTGTTACTAAAAAGCCTTGGCAAGTGAAATGGTACTGTCTGACCAACTTTTTCTGGAATCTTTTCGGTTTCTCCATGAACTTAATTTGTCTTTTCGGTTTCTGAAAGCATGAACAATATTTGAGAAGTCTTGCTTTTTAATCAGTGGAGTTAACATGAAAGTTTGACCTCTAAACCAAACCTTTAAACACCCTACTTGACAATTTATTACTTCGGCAGTTATTGCTATTAGACCAGCCGTAGGAACAAGTAACTCATCTAAAACACATTGTTTGCCTGCTGTTGCTATTAAGACAGGTGCAGGGTTACATGACATCAAGCAAGTGTTCCTTTAGGCAGACAGCAAAATGGATGACCTGGGGTTACCATCGACACCCCTCAGCATGACCTCCTGGTGCCTTATCAAAGTAGCCATAAAATTTCGGTCTTTCGGTGAAACACAGATCTTTTCTTGAAGATGGGAATGGTTATGTACATTACTCCTACCTCTGTTCCCTCAGAGGTAACTACACTCACCATTCAATCTAATGTATTCCAAACAGCAGAAGATCAAATGGAAAGAAAAGTTAATTTAAAGGTGTTATTATTGTTGCATCAGTGCGTGGATGTACTAATTCGATTTCTGGTTAAACAGACAAAGCTGTTTCGGTTTTATAAATGCACTTATATAAGTCATGATACTGATAGGGCTATTCCAGGTCTAAGTGAGACTTCGAAGCTCAACTTAAACTTTGTAAAAATCTCCATTCTCTCCATTAAAGGGTGAATGAGAGGCCACATTCCTCTTATTGTAAACTAAATGTCTCCTTTCAATATAATGTCTTTAAAGAGAAACTGTACTGGTGGTAATTTAGGGGAATTTGAAATCATAAAAGTTGGAGGACAAAATGTATGGATTTGACTGATTGCAAAGACTTTTCCTGAGGTCCTCATTACTCTCTTAACACACAGCAAGATTATCTCTCTGCTTTTTACTTCATGTCAGCAATAACAATAGAAGTTTGAAGGATTACCAGAAGCAGGCAAACGGATAACCACATGGATGCCAACTGATAGCCTGGCAGTAAGAGCAGATTCAAAAAAAGAAAAATATTTTTAAAAGTAACAATTATAGAAAGGGAATGCTTTATGGCCATTTAGTGTGGGTGTAGACTGTCTTCCTGAAGACACTCCTATCACCACTTAATGCTAAATTTGATACTCAGAATTACAATTCCTAATGGCAACTGCAATTATATCAATATATATTGATAAGGAATTTCACAGTTAGCAAGAGTTCCTCCCTGCCATATTAAAAAAAATGCGTATATTTGCCATCTTAAAGTATTAAGCTTTAATGATCAGAAATTTACTCGTTATAAATATGCTATTCTCCAGTAATTCTACATAAGCATAGCAAAGAAATAATAATTAATACAAATAATAATAACCACCTTGAGAGCTTACCTTCTTCCAGGTTTGGTTTGGAAGACCTTACATAATTGTCTCATGTAATTCTTACAATAATCCCTGAGGCACTACGTGTTTTTTCATAAGGACACTAAAAAACAGAGAAGGTAAGCATCTTACCTAATATCACACAGTGAAGGTAGAACTCAAATCTGTATAAATGGTCATGCTATATACTCTATACCACAACACCTCAGGTAACATAACAGCCAAATTCCAAGGATCCACTCTGAGTTCCTAGGGGGAAATATATAAGTGACAGAAAAATATTAGTAATATGTCATTTTACTGAAAATCCAGAAAACAAAAATAAATACATTTAATAGAATTTCAGTGTAACATACATTTTATTATATGGTACAATATATAATCACATGTAATTTGGCATACAGTCAGCTTTCATAAACTAATGATTTAATGAAATAGCACTTTTAAACCAAGTGAATCATATTTTATATAAGAATAGGAAATAGGAGGCCCAGCACCAGGAATCTTGTGGATGCATACCTCACCTCTTCGAGGAAGAATTAATTCAAGAAACCATGGTTCAACACTTTTGGGGGACCGCTGTACACCACAGGAAATTCCTTGTGAATATTAAGGGCTAAAAAGTTTAATCCACAGACGCTCACGGGAGACAGAAAATGCGCTTGACATGGGGGCAAAGAGTGGAGGTTTGTGTAACATGCAAGGTCTTCTGCCTAAAAGTAAAGGGGAAGACGCATAAACCGTATTCCCATTCCACTTCCGGACTCTTCCTAAGTTCAGATTCTCCATGACGGCTCCCAAGTCCCTGTCTGACCTGGCCTTGCTCACCCTCCGTCTTCTTCCCTCACTGCTTTGCCGGTTCCTCGAAGTTCCCCGCATGCCCTGGGCACGTGCTCCCCTCCAGGCCCTTGGAGCCCCCTTCTCTCTGTCCAGGACTCACCTTGCAGATTAACCTCCTTTTCAGGCTCCAGGTAATGCTTCTCTGGAAAGCCGGGCTCGGCGCAGAGGCCAACGGGGGTCCCGCGGGCTGCCTTCCCCCCGCGGCGACACCCACAGGCCATGGCTGCTCTTTGGAGGGCGCCTCTGGTCCTTCCGTCCCGGGCTGCTAACTCTGTCTGCGCAGGAATGGTGTCTGTTCTCTTTGTCATCGTGCCCCCGTGCAGGTACAGGAGAGACACTGGGCAAGCAGTGCTTGAACGAATAAACAAAGGTGAGGTTTATTCTAATCTCCTGTTATTCTCCTGAGGCTTCTGTTGACAAAATGTGCTCCCCTCTCTTGCGTGTTTACCGTTACAAGAGCACTGCGCCCCTGAGACGGCGGCGGGGTGCCTGGGATTGTCAAGCCCACCTTTGCCACAGGTGGTCTGAGCAGGGAGGTTCTCCCTCTCCTAGACTGTACATGTATCACAGAGGTTTTCTAAAAATAACTTAAGATAGAATTGCATTCCATACAGCGTTTGATGACAACTTTTAATAAAGAGCATCGCATTGTATGAGCTGTCTGGAAACCCCGGGAGCTATGGCCCCATATGGACAAAGCTCTCCTTTGCCAGCAAAGGCAGTTTCTGCCCATCCCCAGACGCCACTGCTAGAAAAGAATCTCCTGTCATTTGAATCCTTTTTACTGACAATCTCCCTTTACCACCTGGTTTTCAGGAAGCTTGACAGATTTTTTTTTTTTTATTGTTAAATCATATTCCTAAGCTTGAAGCGTTGTGTTCCCCCTATTTATCATTCTGTCCTTGGTGTAAGTTTCTCCTCAAGGCCACTTTCACTTTTCCAACAGTCAGGCTCAAGTATATCTAAATGCAGACATTTGGGAGGCCCATTTATCTCCACTAATTAAAAGGTGAGCATCAGTGCTAACAGCTGGGTTCTGAGAAGGACGTTGGAGCCACAAATAAAGCAAAGGGCTCGTCACAATTCAGCACATTTCTTTTGTATCTTTCCCAGAAAAGCTTCCAAAAAACCCCCCAACTCCTTACCATGGTAGTCAAAATCGTTCTCCTCTGGCCCCAAACTACCTTTCTGGAAGTTTCTTCTCTTTTAGTCTTGTGCACACACTGGATGCATGTGGGCCAGGCAGCACCCCCCACAGCTACAACTTCCCTACCTACCTGCTGAGATTACAATCACTCGTTTTTTTTCTTAATTGAAGTATGGTTGATTTACAACATTGTGTTCATTTCTGCTGTACAGAAAAGTGATTCAGCTTTTATATAATGTATGTTATATATATGTTATACATATATTACTTATATGTTTCAGATAGATATATTCTTTTTCAGATTCTTTTCCATTATAAGTTGTTTACAAGGGATTAGATATGGTTTCCTTTTATATAGCAGTGTGTATCTGTTAATCCCAAACTCCTAATCTATGCCTTCCCTTACCCCTGCTTTCCCGTTTCACAGCTACAGGTTTGTTTTTCTATTTTTGTGAGTCTGGAAGGACCTAGAGATCATCATACTATGTGAAATAAGTCAGGCAGAGAGAGACAGATATCATGTGATATCACTTATATGTGGAATCTAATAAAAATGATACCAGTGAACTTACTTATATTGATCATTAAAGTCAGTAAACACAGCACCATGGCTTAGCTAGTTGACTTAGATTTTAGAATAATTCCTAGCAAGAATATTTGCTTTGAAAGAAATAGATGTTCCTGCTGACAATCATCTTAGAAAGAAATTACTCCTGGGATGAAGGCAAGGGACAAGAAGAGGAAATAAGAGGTATTTTTTTTTGGAATGGTATCATATTAGCCCAGACTTCAAGTTGTGAAGATACCCAGAGTATTTCTGGAGGGATCTACCCTTGGAAAATTGGAGGGAGGTCAGAAGCAAGGCAGGGATTTTGCTCAGAAAATTTCTAACATCAGATCAGGCTTTGGGAAATAGTTCAGAAGGCCTGGAGCCATGATGAAAGTGAAAGTGAAAGTCGTTCAGTCATGTTTGACTCTTTGCAATCCCATGGACAATACAGTCCAAGGAATTCTCCAGGCTAGAATACTGGAGTGGGTAGCTGTTCCCTTCTCCAGAGGATCTTTCCAACCCAGGGATTGAACCCAGGTCTTTTGCATTGCAGGTGGATTCTTTACCAGCTGAGCCACAAGGGAAGCCCTGATAATACAGAATAATACCAGTCAGGTAAATGGCAGCTTTTTGTTTGTCAATTTGGAGAATAAAAAACTCTCTTTGTTCAGATCTGGAGGAGATGTTGGAGATCTAAACTGGCATTGGAGCTTTGGTTTACTTTTCAACTAGGAACCTGGCAGCCATTCTGGGCACTCCCAGATGATGGTAGTTGTTATTTTAGTTTGAGAACAAGGCCTACTTGGACCCTCAAGTCTCTCTGTGCCTGGAATAAACCATGTCTCTATTCTCATGATCTCATTTAGAACAACAGAACATGTCTTTGTCTGAACAATGCTGTGCATCCTCCAAACTCTTGAAGACAGGAAGGAGAGACAAATGTGGAAAGGGAACCTGAAAGAGAACAGGAAATCCGTAGGCACATTGCCCTTGTGAAGATCAGCATTGGCAGAGCATCTCCAGGGTGGTGATACTCTGTGTGAAATGCCAGGCTCCCCTCCTCCCAGTGGGAAGTCTAAAACGGGTGACCAAAGGTCAATATCAAACCTGAGCTGTCTGGGGAGATACAGCTTCTGGACACAGAACCTCGCTAAGGACAGAATCCTCCCCTAACTGAGCCATTGGAACTATGCTTTTAGAATCATGACTCTGCAATAAAAATAAAATCTACAGTTGTGCCACTGTTTGTCTAGGCTTATGTTGGACTGACTGGAAGGCCTCTATTCCCTTCTCTACACCTGGAGAAGTTCCTGTAGGAGAGAGCCTCAAGGAACGACATTACACTGGAAGGGAAGATCCAAGGGCAGAGTGTTCTTAGGCAGGGGGAATAGCACACATTGAAACCCAGCGAGGGGGTGCGTGTGGATCACAAGGGGATGTAGAGAAGTGGCCAGCTATTTTCAATATATCTATGAGGCACATGCTGGCACATGTACTGGTAGTAATAATATCAGTAGCGTGCGTGCTCAGTTGTATCCAACTCTTTGCGACCCCATAGACTGTAGTCCACCAGGTTCCTCTGTCCATGGAATTTTCCAGGCAAGAGTACTGGAGTGGGTTGCCATTCCCTTTTCCCAGGGATTGAACCCAGGTCTCCTGTGTTGAAGACAGATTCTTTACCATTTGAGCTACCAAAGAACCTCATAAAACTGGCACTGATGTCTTAAGGCCATTCTCCTAATGGCAAATGATACTAAATATCTTCACTTCAGTTCAGTTCAGTCGCTCAGCCCGTCTGACTCTTTGCGACCCCATGAATCGCAGCACACCAGGTACCATGTGCTTATTTGCTCTCCATTTATCCTCTTCAGTGAAATATCTGTCCATGACTTTGGCCTAGTTTCTAATTGATTTGTTTTTTACTGGTGAGTTGTTTTTATTTTTTAAATATGTGTGCATGCATATATTCTTCTTAAAATTCTTTTCCCATTTAGGTTATTACAGGATATTGAGCAGGGTTACCTGTGCTATACAGTAGGTACTTTTTGATTATTTATTTTAAATATAAGAATTTGTGCATGTCAATCACAAATTCCCAATCTATTCTTCTTTGCTCTCCTTCCCCTCTGGTAACCATAAGTTCATTCTCTAAGTCTGTGGGTCTGTTTCTGCTTTATAAATAAGTTCATTGTATCATTTTTCTTTTTAGATTCTGCATGTAAATGATATTATATATTTGTCTTTCCCTGTCTGACTTTATGTATGATAATCTCCAGATTCATCTATATTACTGCAAATGGCATTCTTTCTTTCTTTTTAATGGCTGAGTGATATAGTCCATTGCATGCAATGAAATATGTATAAATATATATATCACATTTTTTTATCCATTCAACTGTCAAAAGACATTCAGGTTGCTTCCAGGTCTTGGCTACTGTAAACAGTGCTGTAATGAACATTAGAGCATGTGTATCCTTTCTAACAGTGTTTTTCTCTTACTGATGAGTTTTGAGAGTTCTTCTAACATTCTCAGTACAAGTCCTTTGTTATATACATAGTTTGCAAGTGCTTTCTTTCACTCAATAACTTATCTTTTCACCTTCTTGACAGACTCTTCCACAGGACAGAAGTTTTACTTTTGATTAAGTCCAATCTCAATTTTATTTTTTATGGATAATACTTTTGGTGTCAAATTGAAGGACTCTTCATCCGACCTTATATCATGAGAATTTTCTTTTTTTTTCCTAAATGATTTATAATTTTATGTTTCACAATTAAGTCTGTGATCCAGTTAAAGTGAATTTTTGTACTGAATGTGAAGTTTAGGTTGATGTTCACTTTTCTGCCTATGGATGTCGATTGTTCCTGCCACATTTCTTATAAATGCTAACCTTCCACTATTTAATTTAAAAAAAAATACTAAGCACTGTGTTGATCTCTTCTACATGACTTATCATATGCAAATGTCACATGGAAATACATCATTCCTTCCACTCTCTTCCCTTCATTGCTCACTTCAGCAACTGTATTTAAGCAAACATATAACTCTGAAAAGGATGACCATATTGGATTGGTGTTATTAGATGTTCTAATGCTGAGCAGCTAAGTAGTCATAAGTATACAACTGCACACTGAGCAATTATTTCACCAGTAAAATATTTTACTTATTATTTCAACAGTAAAATCACTAAAGAGTAGGTCTACATGTTTTCAATTTGGGTAACTGTGTGTCTAGAATGCCTGAGACTAAGTTGATCTTGGAAAGCGGCTACATTAATTTATTTGAACATCCAACTCATAGAACAAATGTGTGGCTACCTAGGTATCTAGATTGGATACCTGGTCACTGGCTAATGAGCTGGAAGCAGGAGATTGAATAACTATATGACTAATTCAAAAAGGGAAAAGAAGAAGCCTCATCTGGACAATAGAATACCTTAGAAAAAATGTACTATTTGGTTGTTCTTTTATTTACCTTCTTTTAAAAGGGTAACATGCACACACAGTGGTTATCTTGGATCAAGAGAAAATGGGAGGTAGTGGAACAAAGCAGGATCCTGTGGGGCTCCTGGGTACAGAAGCCTTTCTGTGTCCCCAGTTTCTTGTTTGTA